AATGACATATGAATAACATTTCATTTCGAATAAACTTCATCTCGACTGATGTCAGAATAGAGGTCGAATTAAATTGTTTTGTTTTTCAGAGATACTCGAAATTTGAATGTAATAATAAGACCGAATTTGATGATATTAGGCAATAATAACATTTTCACAAATAGGAAATTTGTTCTAACAAAACAGTTTATCTTCATGCTCATCATAATTTACGGTTTTTGAACCCATCATACAGGGTTTATGATAAATATGTGTATAGATAAAACTTATTTATTTACACGATTCCTGGGTCCAGGGTCCAAATGCGACCTATGAATTTCAAAGGTTACCAACTTTCAAAAAAATAAAAATAAACCATGGATTGTTTGAGTATATTCCAAACCGAAAGAAACAATATTATAATTTTATTTTAATTTATTAAGTGTTTGTTAATTTTAAATGCATTTATAATTGTGTGATTGATTCCATTTAGTGTATAATAAGGTTAAATAATGAAATAAAAAGGAATGTTGTTTTAATTATTGCTTTTTATTTAATAATTCGAAAACAGACAACAAATAATTTACGTAGTTTAAACGAAATACATAGTGTATGGAACATCGAACTATGACCTGTCGCTGCAAATATCAGTATGTAGTACTACATAATACCTGCTCGTATAGACCTAAACCTACCTCTTTACTAAATATAGCGCTATAAATCTGCCGTCCGCTAACGCGGCAAAGTGTCAAAATATTTTTTTGAGGTATCATAAAAAACATAATTTGGATTATGGTATTTTATTTTAGAATATTGACATTGTTTAGTGATATTTCAGCTACGCATCGTTAGGGTAAAATAATTTTGTGCTCTATTTTTTTCTATCTATAACGGATATTTCACCATTTGTCACTTTTGTTTTAGTGGACGGCAGAAGTTATGATGCGACAGAAAAAGATACTCCATCGCAACCAAAGAATTCCGTAGATTGCTCTTTAATTGCTTGTCTTTTTATTTTTGTAACGCTCTCATTAAACCGACAATATTGTAATGGAGTACAGCGGTATCTCCGTCCATTCGTTTCCACGTACGGTATTTTTAGCACGAAGATATCACTGAATATTGACAGTGTTGGATAAGAGGGCGTAGAATACTGCTGATAATAAATAAAAAAAATCATCTTCAATTTAATCCTTTTTAATAACCTCTAATTTGATAATTAGTCTATATGATTGTACACCTATTAATTTCTCTGATTGACCTCATCAGTGAATATCACGGTATACAAAAATTTGATGAATATTTAAATTCAATTATCTTTTATGTGAAATTACTCCACTAGTTTGTTAAGATTCCTTTATATTAATAATAACCAGTTCGAACCGACGTCTTCTAGCAAATGTGCCAGACGCTATGCCAACTAAGCCACGGAATGAACCAGCGGAACTCGCGAAATTTTCTGTGCTTTTTGTATTTTTGTATATCAATTTCTACATTGACCCGGCCGGGGATCGATCCCGAGACCTCAGAGATGGCGATACTATAATGCGATATGATATTTATAAGGTACGATAGCGTCTTTAGAGTTTTCTAATTGTAAGTATAAATATAAACACTTTTTGATTTTTGCCTTTTTATATTCGGAAAAAAAGAGGAGATATTTATTATAAATATAATATTTTCTGTGTATTATGGCTAGTTTAGGACGCGGCAGCCGCGCATCTGTAGCGCTTCAGTAATTTTTAGTTCACTGCAAAAGTGTTGCGCACGTGTCACGACATACAGTAGCGGCGCCACTGTAGCCCTTGTATAAGCGTCTTACTTTTTGCCCGTATTAAGTGGCGAAGTAATTAAGTTTTAATAAAATTTTAACTAACATTAAGTAGTCTACACGTGTTTTAGTGAAGCTATAAGTGCATTGACATTTTGCAAACAAAACGTTCGTTCGCCAAATGCTTCGCGTGAGGGCTACTTCGTCAAAAATAGGTTTGATCACGATATTGTCTGTGGGTTTGATTCTAATCTACATATCTACTTATCCATCGATGATAACAACTGTTTAGTGATTGTTTACACGCATAAATTCAATTAGAAAAACATACTAATATATCTCTGATTATTGTACAATTAATTATAATGTGTTAAACAGTGTGGCGCAATGCGTATGTCAAATTCTTACAATATGTAGCGAAAGAGGTACAGAACAACTTATTACATTAGTTTATCTTCGATAACATCTGCCAAATCGTTTGTAGCAATTAGAAATAGATCTCTGCTTGTGGTCCCATAGCCTCGCGTTTTCCTTGCTGTAATAAAGTATTATTTTCTTAAATAAGTATTATTTCTTTAATGTCAAGAATTGTTTCTGTCAAATCTCATAGTTCCTTATAGAACCAATTCGTTATTGTAGTTGCAACCACTGAGTAATTGGTGTAATAATTGAGAACCTCCTTTTCTCGGACCATGGCCTAGATCCTCTTTAGAAAAAAACTCTGCTTAGCGGTGGAATGTAGGTAAGAAATGATGTTAATGATAATCAGATATTTTTCTCACTTGACAAAGTAGAGCTCGAAGGCAGATATGAAGTTCCTATTGGCTCTGGCGTGCAGCTTACACAGCTGGAGTTTTTCGCAGTCTTCTTCGTAACTGCAAGTTCAATTCAGTAGTTAATGTCTGAAATTAAACCCGGCAAACAATAATTCGTTGCACCCGAACAGTCGAGATAAGACTTGTTATATCACATTGTTTTTTTCGAGTCTTACATGGGGAAAAAATAGCGAACTTAGAGTGAGTTCCCACGACCCGTGATGTCAAACGCCGACTGAGTCCGGACGGCCTCGGGCCGATGCGCATGGCGACGCGCATTCGAATAAGTATGTATAGAGTATCATATCAATCCATTTATACGTATAAATCGATTGATGATTACAAAGAAATAAACGGTATATTGAATGTAATAAAACTAATAAAATGTACCTTCTTTTAGTCCGTATTTTTGTAAGTCCAGGGCTGGGGAAACTGCCAAAGGTCTGTGATAAATCTATGAATCTCTTGTGTAGTCTGTGTGCATCGACGTCTGTAGCTGGAGCTAGAAATGTTAAAAGTTGTAGTCTGTAGTAATTGGTCGTATAATCATTGTTGTTTATTATTCCTACAATATGATGTGTCTGCGTCGAGTCCAGCGGTTAGCACTAAGGGCGTTTGATATTGAAGTCCTGGGGATCGATTAGTTATGGAAAAAAGTCAAAAAATATCCTAAACTAAAATTGAAAACTTTACAACAAATTAGCATAAAATAATTTAAAAACTTCCAGCGCTTCGAAATACACTTATCAAAAGTGTTTAGGGATCATGCTCGTTTTTGGTATTTTTTTTATAATATCAAATTACTGAAAATCAGGTTTTTTTAATAATTTTTTTAACACCATTTCTTTTTGGCCAATTTTATTATCAAATTCAAATTATAAAATTAGCCCGAAAAAATCCATCGGTTTTAAAAAAAAGTAATTTAAAAAAAAAAACCTGATTTTCGATCGACGCCTAGACACTTGTGTACGTCCGGTAGAAACCGCGGGATCGAGATTTTGGCGCTTCGATTCCACAAGAGATTCGTCACGAATTAATCATTTTTAAAGCCGTTTCTCCTGAATTTATGGTCTTCTAGACTTACCAAAAGCATTTTCATTCTCGAAAGGTTTGCACATCACACCACAAATCATAATAAACAGAAATACAACAACTTTCGCCATTTTCTCAACACTGTTTTCCTGTGAGTACATCAGTGTGTGCGGTCATTCTATAAGAATAAACCGACTTTTCTGCGAGGTTTTATACAATATTCTGTCGCTTTGTACTGACGTGTGTGCGATTCTAATGAGGAAACAAATATGATATTGAAATTAGTCTTTGTTAAACATTATTGGTTAGGCAAACGTAACAACCAGAGTTGGTTGGAAAATGGAAATCAGAAATAACTTTGGAGATCCTCAGTTGCAAGTTTAGAAGCAGTAGAGCTCCTTGTGAAAGAGTACGTCCAGAGAAGTACTGCCTGAATATGAAACTATGAGTGGCACTACAGCTGCTATGAACAGGCGGCGTGTCGCTTACCACCAGGCGCACCACTTGTTCGTCGTGTCACTTGATTCATAAATTAAAAAGGTGGTAAAAACGTTGGTTGATCGTCATTGCAGTCAAGGCCGCTTATCTAAGGCTGTGAAACTTCGTCCTGCATGTTCACAAATGTACGTGACTTAGAAATTGAAGTTGTAGGTACGTGTTTGATATAGAGATTTTTATCTGTTGAGAAGCGACCCTTCTCCCAATGGGCTATTATACAGCTTTTATGGTGTTTATAAGTATAATGCCGAGTCTTTCCAATAATACAGTATAATGTACCAGATAACCACACAACCACTCGAATTATAGGCCTATCGCTTAACTGAGTCGGTTCCTGAGGTAGATACTCAGTGCGGGAGGAGTGACAGTTTATACTGAGGTACCTCTTTCCAACAAAAAATATAATCTTTAAAATCGGTTAAATACAAAAATACAATCGAATTGAGAAGCTCATCCTTTTTTGAAGTCGGTTAAAAATACGATTGGGGAATCGAAATTGCTACGTCAGAATCGTAGCAAGTGTAATTCCGTAGTCTGTGGTAATTCTTATCTAATATACGGAACCTTTCGTCAGAGTAGCTGCACTATGTTTAAAATAAAACTTAAAGTATAAAAACTAGCACAGTGCAAAATACTGGAATCACGATAATCGTTACGTTGACTCGAAGTTTTTAGCATTATCTTTGCAGTTAAGCACATGACTAAAGGCGACTTCAAATTAGACGCTGAAGGAAGCGCTAGTCTTTGCCTTAGTTAATGCGATGGGTTTGCACTAAGGGTCGTATTCTAAAACTCTACTCAATGCTCAAGTCAGGACTTGAGTATGATTCAAAGCACTAGAAATCATACTCAAGTCCTTGCCATTAGGGTCGTATTTCCAGTGCTTGAAATAATACTCAAGTCTGTTCAAATCCGGACTTGAGCATTGAGTACATTTCTGGAATACGACCCTAAGAATCATTCATTATGATTATTTTCTCGTCTTGTTGAAACGGAGGAATGCTGCCTTTATTTTGTCAGAATAATAAAAAATTGTAAGTATTTAAAAAAAGGAAAATACTGAAAAATTCCAAAAAACAAATTATTTTTTTTTTACGACACCAAGTGACGGGACGAATAAGGTGCGCCTGGTGGTAAGCGACACACCTGTCCATAAAAGTTGTAGCTCCGCTCAGATTTTCATGTGCCTGTAATTTCACCAGCACCCTTGCCCTTCAAAGCCGGAACGCAGTAATGCTCACATTACTTACTGCTTGACGGCAGATATAGGTAAGGTAGCAGTACTTCTCTGGACGAACTCACAAGGAGCTCTACTGCTACTAAATTACGACGAAATGAGGCTAACTGTAATACGAATGTCAAACTTAATTTCGACAAACATTATTTCGACTCGACAGTACTTCGACTACACGTTAATTCGAAGGAACACTACTTCGACAAATACATGTTCGACAGGTCACTAGTCCGACAGATCACTGCTTCGACAACATAAACATTCGATAGGTCACTATACCGAAAGAAAACTACTTCGACAATACAAATGTATTCGACAAGTCACTTCTTCTTGGCGTGTCCACTCTGACGTTTATATTAATTTGTGAGGACCAGTACTTAACGACAGGTCACCATTCCGACAGAACATGAAATCGACAAATAACCGCTTAACTATTTATAAATGATTTCTCAGACATATTTATGTATATGAGGTATTCGGCTCAAGAATAAAGTGGTCTCTAAGTAGTCTCTCAGTACAGCAAATATTTCTATTAAATATTTCATGTTCTGTCGGAATAGTGACCTGTCGAATACTAGTGCTGTCGAAGTAGTTTTCTGTCGGACTTGTGACCTGTCGAACATGTGTTTTGTCGAAGTAGTGTTCCGTCGAATTAAGTATGACAACTCCTATAATGCTAACTAAGCTGCGTTGAAGTTAGTTACTGAAAAGTAAACAACTTACAAAATTAAATATATTTAGCAAACAACAACAGTACCTATTTTTTAATTACGACACTTCTTTTAATTTTTATGTTGTTACTCATTACGATATTTCCGTTTGATGAAATAAGTTAAAGCACCAAAGTTTTTTGAAATGTATTAGATCGCTTTTAAATTTGTAATAGGTGGATGATGATAAAAATTATTAACAAAAGATTTCGGTAAAGTATATGTGAAGTTGTTGAAAATACGAATTAATTCGGTGTTTCCATTGACTTACAATTATATGGACGTCGGGGCCGCGCTAAAAAGTGTCCGAAGTTATAGGGCGTTAAAATCGTATACAGCGCGTCATTCACGCTTTAGTCTTCGTTTGTTCGACTGACAGCGAAGCAAGCAAAATTAGACAGTACTGCGATGACATTACAATTTAAATTCAACGTTTTAGCTTTTTCATATTCCTTTACATGTCACTACGTTTAAATAGGTTGACTTGGGACATTTTTTTCGTGGTTTTTGTATTAGACCCGTCGTCCATTTATTTGTAAGTCAATGGGTGTTTCCGTATTTTTATTTGCTCAAAAACAAAAACGCAGTAATGATCTGATTTTCATTAATCGTGGCTATGTACAAATCAGACAATGACTGTGTATGAAACGCCACTGATGTGCGACAGTGACACAACTACTGCGCTCTAGGAATTGTATGAAAATTTGTAGTGCAGCGTTTCTAACAATCGCCTTATTTGAACGCGCCCTAAATCTGACTTGTTAGTTTTTTTCCATTATTTACTTGTCCAGTTATTTTAAGATTCGTTTGCGTAACCATGACTGTCGCTTATGTCCTTACTTTAAGGTTTTTTGCAATAAGAAAGGCCAGATCAAAAGTACACAGAACAGTACGAACAAACTAACCGATGAGAAGTGAAACTACTTTAAATGTAACGATACTAACGTACCTGCTATAAAATAGAAGTTAGAGGTAAAAATATTGAAAATTAGTAGGTACGGCCAAGAGCACGTCGAGCTTGACACTTTGCACGTACATACTTTGGACCGTGCTTATCGTAAGCGGCATAGAGTTGGATTTAAATCTTAAGTGTCAAGCTTGACGTGCTCTTGACCCGCAAAGGTCGTTTTAAACAAAGTTTTAGTGTATTATAAACACTTTCATGATTAGGAAATTAAACTATTTTTAGTTTAACAAAGGAAACCATTTTAAGTTTCATTTCCTATGTGTAACAATCGCGAAAATCTGAGAACTCGATACTTAAATAATTATTAACGCCAATCACGCTGCCTCGCCCATGTCGAAAAGCTATCTGCCGCCGACGACGGTTATTATATTTATTTACTTTGTTAATATAAGGTAGTTCCCAATTTTAACAATTTTTCAAACTAATTGACACTCCCGTTATTTTGTATTTATCTAAATTGTCCAGATTGCGTCTTTACGTATAGTTACGTAGTAATAAATGGAGTTCGTAGTAGCTATGTTTTTTATGATAAGTACTGGGTGGGCCTGGTGGTAAGAGACGTGTCTATTAATAGCAGTTGCAGTGTTACGCAGACCTTTGGCGGCAGAAATAGGTAAGGTAGGCAAACTCTTTCACAAGGAGCTCTACTGCTACATATGAATTGTTAATATAATAGTAGGTGTCCATTTATATTTTATTCTCCAGGAGGATCCATTTACGTCTGCAATTGACGTAATGTATGTATATAGCTCTAATTTGGGTCTAATTCCTTGGTATTAGTTTATCGTCACGAACTCGAATCATGATAATCTAGAAGTTATAAAATAGCGAGCTGTGGCGTAACAGTTTTTGACTATTTAATTTTTTGCCAGTTCTATCAGTGGGTTCCACAGACCACATGTGGTGGGTTAACCTATTAAGGTTTTGATTATTGATTTCTTATTTGATATTATGAATACAAAATTTACGTGTGCATTGAATATGGACTGGACTAAAATAAATTTAGTATAAATAACAATACAAGTTCAAGATTTTTGTGTTTACCTATGTAATTTACGAAAAAAGTTCAATGAACATTCCCGACTGTTCTGGAAGACAATTTTTCTACTTGACTATAGATGTCGCTTTACAGCACCATCTAGTGTTAAGTAGTAGTACTTGCACGTTAATTTGAGTTGTAGTTCTAAACATATTAACAGGCGGCAGTTTTGCGCTATTTAAAGTTATGTTTTTTAAATGTAATTTTGTTTGTAATGTTTTGTCATTATTCATATATTTGATTTTTACATTTTATGAAGATACAAAATTATTAATTAAAAGATTCACTAATATGTGATATCAAACATGTTTGTAAACTGTTTTAATGAACCGGTTAGTACTTTTTACAATGGCTAATAGATGGTGCTGTTCAATTCGTAGTTAGACATCTGGCTAACGAGTACTGCAAATCGTTACTAGATGGCTAAAGATATTTATACACGTCCCTAGACTTTTCGGGATAATTCGTGCAGCTTCTCGCAAACAGATAGCGCTCCAAACGAGAGTATATAAAGTCCGTCGCGCGCAAATGATGCAACAGTTTGAAATTGTCAAGCGAAGAAGTGAAAGAAGCGTGAACGTGAAGCGTTTTTATTGCGATTTCGAGTGGGAAAAAAAGGTGATAAATCTGCAAAAATGTCTTTAATGCCGTATTGGTTCCGTCACTTGAGGAATTTGGCGTACAGAGATCCTTTCGCTATACTAGAAAGAGACCCCTTCTTCCGCGATCCTGCGAAGTTTGTACGAAACGCTCTGGAGCCATGGGATCGCGATCATCATGGAATTGAAGGAGTGTACTCGAATTCCGAGGTGAAAGCCGACGGAAAGAAGGTAGAGGTGCATTTAGATGTTCGGAATTTCTCGCCAGAGCAGATTCAAGTGAAAACTGTTGGTAACGAGATTATGGTTGAAGCAAAGAAAGAGATTAAGAAGGAGGATGGTTGGACGAGAAGTCATTTCGAGCGAAGGTTTTTGTTGCCTGAAGGGTTCCCGCCAGAACGTGTCGAGTGCCATCTTGATAAAGGGAAATTAAAACTGATCGCATTCAGGTCCGAGCCGGTGGAAGAAAGATCTATTCCCATTCAGGACAAATCTTCAAACAGCGAGAAATCGTAAACTTATATAGGGTAAAAAATAAGTGATTGTTTTTAGTTGCAAAACAGACTGATAGATTAGGCTTTTTCGCATTTGCAGTTATGTTATGTACTTTATTAAATAAAAAAAATTATAACGTGATCTGAAACGGAGTTTTTATTTTTCTTTCACATTAAATAGGTGAATAGATTATGTAACCTATATACTAAAAGACGTCAAAAAATTTGATCATTTCAAATAATTTTTGTCTTTAAAATATATCCTTAAAGCAGTAAGCGTGGCTTATTACAGCGTGACATGGTCGAGTTTTTGAAATCTGACTAGCCAGATAAAAATTCGCTATTTAGTCGGTTCTAGTTACAAAAATAACTGGATTTAGTCGGTCCGCCGTTCTAGTTATAAGTGTAAATACTTAGTAAAATAATAATTGAAAACGTGGGGTAATTTCTGATTCGTGACACTAGGTTGCACGAATACGTGGAAACCACAAATTTCTCTCATCGAAGAATATAACAGCGTTCCCTATATTCCCAGCATGACCAACCTGAGTTTTGAAATTTAACTAGTGGGGTAGTGAAAAGTCGCCATAGCCTTCAGTTGCAGCAGGAAACTAGATTTTTGTTGGTGCCTGCCCGCGCCCGTTCATCCGTGGTTTATAAACATAACATTTAGAAACTTTATTTATCAGGGTGTCGGGCGTAATGTGGCAATGCCCCTCAGGTCTTTGTGATTTAAAAGCTCTGAGTGGCACAGCAACTGTTTATACCAACAGGCGCACAATTTGTTCATTTAGTATTACAAAAAAAAAATCCAGTAACCTTCACGGAATTTAGCAATAAATTACCTACAATTAATTATTATATAGGTTATTCTTTCGAAAATATAGAATTAAGATAATGTTCCATCGCCTAAATTGACCATGTTTACAAAAGCACTCAGAATTTTATGTGCTAAACAAAGAAAACACTGATGACAGTAACTTTGGTATTATTGTTGGTATTGTTGTATAGTACAAGATAATATACTATTTTGTTGGTGTATTGGTAAGATTAGATTGATTGGACGCAGAGATGGGCAAACGTTCGGGTTTTTAACTCGGCGCTTTGACGCATTGAGATTGAGTCACCAAATGCACAACAAATAATCAATTTACTTAATTTTGTAAGGCAAAGAAAAATGTTTTTTTGTTCAGACTGATTACAGATTAATGTTGAATCTAATTAATATAACTGCCTCCGTGGCCGAACGGTTACCATGCCGGACTGCCATGCAGAGGTCCCAGGTTCGATTCCCGGGTCGGGAGAAATATTTGTATGGCCTACATTTATTTATCTCGTGAGTTTGGGTGTAATTTGTGGTTGTCTACGTCTGTGTCCATGGCACCCGCGACATAGGGTATCCCTAGTGCGGGGCTATGTTGAGTGTGTACGTTATTATTATTACTATTATTAAAATAAATAAACGATTTAAGGTCATCTAATTTTATAATTAGTTTTACTTTTTACATTCTGTTTACATTCACAGCAAACATAATAGATTATTACATTTTGAGTTTCTTAATTCTTTATTATATTTTTAAGCGATGTATTTCTAATAAATAATGAAAATTCGAGATGTGGGGAATTTGTAGGGAACATGAACTTTGGTCTCCCCAAATTTGAGGATTTTAACCGTGATTTTTGGAGATCTTGAACAATTGGCATTGGCAACGCTGATTGTATCCAATGATGTGACTTAATTATCCAAGGTTCACCACCTCCACTAGATCTTTTAATATTCTTTACTTTATCCATTTTGCATGAACTCTTACAACGTCCAATAGAGTAAAAACCCTTTGTAGTATTTTTTTAAATAAAATCTAATGAAGACACGCTATAACGTGTTTGTCAATAAGTACAAACACTACAGAATGTCTATAAATTAAATATATCTAGAATAAACTTAAGAACACTAGTTTTTAGAGTATTTATAGGCTTTACTGGAAGTGTATAGAACAATTTTACTAAAAATAATCAGTTGTTCTACAGATGAACTTAAAACAAGGACTATAAGAGTAAATCTTAAGAGAGATTACACTTAATTAAGTTGTTTGGTATTAAGAAGGCGTTAAAATTTTGACTTCAGTGAAATAAGTCTATAAGAACAATTTCTTTTTTCGAAAACCATTTATAGGGAACTATTATCTAAATCAATGCCATATTATAGTACATTATGATACAAGTGTGCTAAGTTGGTCATTACACACGAGGCGTTATTACTCGCGCGAGCCGCAGGCGAGCGCGATAAGAAAGCCGAGAGTGTAATGATCAAAGCACACGTGTTTCATACGACGTTTTTCAACACATTTACGAGGAAAATGAAACAAACTTGAGTAAAATGGAAATGAAAAATAGCTTTATTTGGCATTAATTATACAGATACACTGAATACTATATTAAGTTCACGTTAATGTAAATAATATTATTCTATTCTATACTATATCTATCAATAGCAATTAATTAAGAGTCTCCAAAGCCTATCAAAGTCATTGTATCTTGATTTTATAAAAAATGTAGTTATTTAAATTTAATTATTAAAACAATTGTTAAATGTACAATTTTCAAAATGGTAACGTGCAGTTTTGTTAGGCATTTGAACCGTCTGTGTGATATTATTTGTTACTATTTCATTATTGTCTTCTTGCGTAAAAGTCGGTGATACGGGTTCATTGTGTACAAATATGGATGAAAGTGGTGGTGGTTCATTTAAAGACTCAGAAATAGACAACCTAGGTAACAAATAACTTGTATCACGGGAGGTGGATGGCTGCGGTTCAGGACACATCTTCTTAACCTGGGGCTCCAGATTTATAGCGTGGGTTATTTGAGTACATATGTTGGACTTATTTCGAACTGAATCTTCAACATAAGACTCAGCAACTGTGCTAGATCGCCAGCCACCATGACGCTTTAAAGTAAGCAAATCAGCTCCCGAGTCAGCTAGCAATGTAGCTGATGTTCTTCGGAAACTATGCCCAGTGTATAAATCCGGGTCGGGTAGATTTAAAAACTTGGCAATTTCTTTAGGCATTGCACCAAATTTCTTAATGCCTATTGGCTGAGCCACGCATCTACCCTTCTGGTAGTTTTGAAAAAACCGATCGGATTTTGCCTTATCTGTCCTAAGCGCTTCGTACTTTTTTACTATGTCGTAAAATGGACCGTGAATGGCAAACGATCTCGGTACCTTATTTTTAGTGTTGTTAATTTTAATCAAAAGCATTTGGCCATGAGTTTCTACGTCTTTTGCCGTTACTTCGCTTAGTTCTTGGCGTCTACACTCGCCAGTGACACCAAATATCATTGCAACCTGTAAAGAAATTAAAAATATAGGTATTTTCGCAAATATAATACAAGAAAAATGAAAACATAAAAAAATTAAGGTTTAATACGATCAACTGACCTTTGTTGCTAAATACTGATAATCGGGGGCTTCTTTTAAAAACTTTTCGACGTCAGTTGGCGAAAGTACCTTCGATTTTCTTGCAACATACCCATCAGAGCGTCTCTTTAAAAATGCCGTCAGATTTGAATAGTTTTTTATGTCTATGTTATTCTTGTTCTTTACTGTGGTCTTTAACATAGAATAAATGCACCAGAGCGAGCTGGGCTTAAACCTATTCGCCAGTTCATTAAAATAGGCAAGAAAAACATTTTCTGAAAACGAAGACGCTTTTTTGTTGGTTTTCCATTGTATAAAAGTTTCATATGCAGCCATGTATTTTTCTCTGGATTTCGAAGGTAATAAACTGTCACTTGCGTTTTGTGCCTCTGTGAGGATTTCGGGCGGTGTTAAATCCATCAAAATGTTTTCTTCCGTGCTTGAGCAGGACATTTTAAACACCTAGGTAATTATCTAACACACAGCGTATATATAAATGTTTCGAACGTATCAATGGAAATTGGCGCGCAGAGTTATTTTTTCTGCGCCTGGCGCCGCGGCGCGGATATGCGCGCGCAGGTGCTTCGGTAATAATGAGACTTAGGTGAAATTCCTAAACAGCCAATGCGAAATAATATAAATATGTCCTTATTTCACTCAAATTCGTGTAAAATATTATCCAAAATAAGTAATTTTATTCAATTAAAGTTTTATAGGTGTATATTGTGTATGTTTTTCTATATTTATCACATCAAATAAGAAATATAAATTTATTAATAAAAATATTATTTGTAAGGTAAGACTACACAACCGTATTAAACAGAAATAAAAAAAAAACTGTGACCCTGTTTGTTTGGGATTACTGTCATTGTAATTTGAATCTTATAATATGTAGGTTAGAGCTGTTTTTTTAATAGACCAAGTTAATTTCAAAGACATAACCCGGATAATTTAAGAATGCATAGTTTTAATACATAGGCCTTGTTGTGAGATACATCTTAATCCGGTTAAGCCTATACTTATTACACACACGTTTTGTAATATAATTACAAACGCGTGTTCAATAGCTAGGTTTATGAGCCTAAAAGCGATACAATAAGAAGCCCGTTACGAGCAAATGTGTTGAAAAGACTGTTTATAGTTATAACAGTTTCAAGGCGTATAAAGTGTGCTCCTTGGGATAGTACAAAACTGTTATTTTACACCTATTAGGGACTCATAAAATATGGTCATTTGGAAAGTAGTTCAAATGGAATACTTACACTTAATAATATTGATAGTGTAGATACTGTCGATAGTCTCTATACGATTGATAGCCGTGTCAACAGTGTCTAGGTCCACAATTGTTGGTTCGGCAACACTACCATAGTAATGAAATGATATTATTTATTGTAACAATATTATACGTTACAAGTTAGTGGTTATATCACTCAATATTTATAGATAAAACGAATTTAATTATCCAACAGTGTTCATGTCATTCAAAATTGATGATACATTAAACAATACATGGCATTGCATTTACATTACATTATAAGTTGCATTTACATTATTATTATTATGTGACATAAAAAATAACAAAAATAATAATATCGACCGATATTCCGGTTGGTATTTCGCACCCATTTGGAAGGGATGTAACTTACATAAGGATTTTACCTCGTGTACCATGTTATGTCCTGAAATAAAATGTTTTATAATGAATAATGTAATCTTATTTTGTATTTGTTGCAATAATTAATTAATGCGTTTCTTTTTTCAATTGATAACGGACCAAAGCAGTTCTGAAGAGTCAAAATAGTTCGAAATAATTTCCTTAAAGATAACTTAAAGATAACGTAACTTTTAGAACAGCTACGACGAAACACTCAACCTATATTAAGTAAGGCAAACAGATTAAATAATCGAGGTAATCCGTTTGTTAATTGGAAATGATCTGGGAAGTGTTGTGTTTTAGTGGTAACTGGTATTTCCTACGAAAGTGACATTGAAAACGTTACTCTAGGTACTCACAATGTAGTAACACGCGGCAAGAACAGCCATCTTGTATTGCACATCCAGGTCCATGGGAAACTGGACATTGTACTTCAACCAGTCCTTCTTGATTTTGCCGATTTTAATGTCTCCTGCACCCAGAATCTGGAAGTTTCGTACAGGAAATTATTACAACTAGATAGCCACAGAAAATTAAAGAGTAAAAACTTTTTTACAAGGGTTTTACTTCAAAACCATTTTAAGTGTGACGTACTACTATGGGTGCACAATATACGCCAATAAATAAAAAGGTCTTAAATAGGTATTTCTACACTTGAGTTGTGCTCGAACTTACTTAGTCAGTTACAGTTCTCTTACTACAAAACCCAATGATTCAATTAGTTCATTACACTCCTGAACACAGGTTGTTCAATAGAGAACATCGTTATTTATTATTTACATATGATTATACTATCTAGTTACAAACAGAGATGAACAGCGGGTTAAAACCTAATTGTCTGGGTTTTCACACAAAGGTTTTAATCCATTTAGGCCCAAAATCGTGGCCCGAAACGGCTGGTACGGAATTATTTATGGTAGGTATGGTATAATTTATTATTATTAACCAATTTCGGTGCAAAAAATGTTTATTAGACGGGGCAACTCCACACAATATCCACCTTGCAATCCTGTGGATTCTTATTAGTATTACGATTCCATTTTTGAAGATCGATTCAAGTTTTTTTATGTTATGAAATGTAAGTGCGCATTTGACCTCCATCTCACCTGATGGCAAGTGACGATGAGGTGGACGATGGAGCATGCACACCTAAATAATGCCTATTCACTCTCGTCTTGAAAAGGTCTAAGTTGTAACCTTCAGGGAACAAGTCTGCAGGCAGGGTATTCCACTCCATAGCCGTTCGCCATTTAGATGTGGAAGCGTAGCGCTTCGTGCGAATCTTTGGAATATCCACAACATAGGGGTCGTACACAAGCCTACGTGTGGTCCCCGGATGGTGGAAAGGGGAAGGTGGAATAAAATTGTTTAATTCCATCGCACAATACCCTGTAAAGTGCATACGTCGTAACAATTTTTTGTATCGATTGATTTCAATGCGATTTTCAAGCGAACTGATTCAATAGAAAGGTAAGTCGAGTCTAGATCATAAAGGAATAAACATTTTATAACAATATCATTAAATTCGAACAAAACTCGATTTACAAGAAATATTGAGTTGTAAATAGTTTTTGCCCCCGATTTCGGCTAGCGCTTCATTAACACTGTGTTTAAACTCGAGCGTTTGCTCATATGTAGTTACAATAGGTAAGAGTCTGACATGAAAAGTACTATTCCTGTGGAGGGCCAAAGGTCGTTTGATGACGAGCATGGGACGGTCGTGGTTATCCGACAAGACAAGTCGCGAGCTGCAGAAATTCTTCAGACGAATGGTAGCTATTTGACGTCCTTTCATATGCAATTCAACACACGGTGAGGAGAAGCAATTAATTGGCCTTTGAAATTCGGCAACCTGGAATTTATAAATAGAATTTTATGCTTTAGGATAAGGTTTCATAGTAGGTAATTTCTTTTTCAAGAAAAATAGTGAAATTAATACGAGGAATAAAAATATACAGGCCGCTCGTGATAGTCACATTCACATACTAACGAATAAAAAGAAATGAAAAAAAAACCAAAAGTTATAAAAAAAGCATAAGCACAAACACATTTATTAAAGGGCTTGTTTAATAAGATTCCGGTTTATATTCATTTGTCATTACAAGGTTTAAACTTTAGTGTAACAAAAACATGTACTAAAGATTGTTGCGTACAGCTTCAGCGTACTTGGATGACAAAAGTTTTTGGTAGTGGCTCGTTTAGTTCTTGTAGGTTATTTCGAATGGTAAAAGTGAATATAAACAATAAGAAAATAAATATTTATTTAAAAAGAGTCAAGAGTTTCTTTCTTATTGTTCTCGGGTATACTGTTGGGTAATTTTCTAAAAAATATCAAATAGTGGAATTTTTTTTTTTAATTTCAGAAAAATTGGAAAAATATAATTCGTAGGCTCATAATTGTGTTCTACGTTTAGATATGTATTTTGAAGTCTTATTTAGTGTAAATTAAAAAATAAAATTGTACAGCTAAGAGCAAGACACAGTAAAACAAGTTTTAAAAATACTAAAAAACAGCGAAGAAAAATAACTCATAGGTAGGTAAACAGTCTTTAGAATGGCTTCATTGTTGTCCAACTATCAAATGTAGGAAAAACTCTGAAAAATCTTTATTTTTCTGAAAAACTTGGATTTTTCAAATTACAAATTTTTTCCATGACTCAACACTACCTGACGAATGAGTAGAGTTTAGTCAAATTTAATCAAATTGGAAGTGTAATTTGTTTGCCAATGAAATAAAGAGATATTCGAGTTTGAGTTACCTGTTCATTATTGTTGTCCAGTACGGTCATATCAAGCCAACCTTCCAGTCGAAAGGTCACTCTGCCAAACATTGATATGGAGTATTGAGAACTGAAGCACGATACCTCTCTCTTGAATACCACATCTGACAGTTGCATCAGCTGCTGAAGTCCTGGAACATTGTATTGACGTTCAGTAACGATCTAAGTAACACCAAACTATCGACACTTCTAGCCGCTCAGAAAAGGCTTTACTTATGTCTATGCAGGAAGAGCAAAGATGACTTGGCACGTTTGAAAACGCATGAAGGTTTTTCTGACCGACTTAGTGCGATTTCGTCTTAATAACTGCGGTGAATAGTGCAGTTAATAAATTAATCGCGTATATTAATTGTCATACTAACATTCCCACTCTCAATCATAATGGCTCCTTGTCTGCTCTGTATCTATCTATACTAAAACTTAAAAAAAAACAGTTTTAGAAACCCCCCACACTAGCGTCTTTCGAGCATCAGCGTCTTGCCATCGGCACGCACAGCGTCGACACGACTGACCGCGACGCAACGTCAACACGGCGTATACCACAGACCACATAAATGCGTATACCTACGCGATGTTCACAAATTAGTCAGGGATACTACGTTGCATCGTCGCCGCGCGGATGTCTGTCGAGTCGACTCTGTACGTGCGTTGGCAAGACGCTGATGCTCCAAAGACGCTAGTGTGCCCCCACACTAGTCTCTAAACATTCTTCCCGTTTTACTCGTAAGCAATTGTCACATTACTAAGGAGGAGTTACATTACTTTTTGTCGCTCTAATAATTCTCTATAGCAAACGGGAGGAAGGAATCCCATGAGGTAGTGTTCTCATGTAGAGCGCTGATGCTCTAGAATGACGTCGCCAAGTGAGATCGGTAGAGAGATGACTGACCCCGTTCGGCGGCGGCGTATCGTCGCGGCTAGGAGCGGGGGCTCGGTTCGCCAGTAAGTCTGGCAGCCACGAGGACATTTTTCCTCATGAATTTAGACGGCGGAAATGTGCTTTATTTTAATATTTCCGTACAAATGAACTACGTTTTTATCCAGTGTATTTTATTCAAACTAGATGTAAAGTAACAATGTTTATACTTACGTTTTTTTTTAACGTCAGTACCTAGTTAGTTAGTTAGTACTTAGTATAGTATCTACAAATTAAAGAATGTTTTAGCGTTTTTTTTTGTTTCTGGTGGGGATGCAAACCGACGAACTGACCCGTATTTTATCCGTATCGATAAAAAACGAACTTTTTATTATTATTTTTAATTTTAATTAATATGAACCTTTTTATTATTATTATTATTAATTTATCAAAACATATTATTTTTTATCAAATGTAAAAATTGTAATAGTATTAGCAATAAATTATTATTAAACGCGTTTGTTTTAAAATTTTGTGTACGGTATACTTATGTTTGTAAATATAATTATGAAAAGGGCATCCCCGAAACATTGCCAATAGGATTTTTTTTCCAATGGAACCAGTTTTTTGAGGCTATCTTATTAAATAGGCTGTTTTAGATAAAAAATTGATTTGATAATTTTGTTTGTACATGCACACAATTTAAGAACAATATAAAACACCTTGCATTAATAACTAACTATATTAACGTGTGCGTCATACCATGGTCATACCCATTACCTACATAAAATAAAACATTTTTTGTTGTGTCGCACAACAAAAAACAAAACCTGAACTCATTTGAAATTTATATATAAATAATAAAGTTAAATTACGTTATACTTATGTTTACATTTTGGACTTCGATTTCATCTCAGAGTACCTATAGTATGCAAAGTACGCACATTAAACTCTCGGGATTTGGGGGACAATATCCACTCCTTCATATTGTTTGTAAAATATTTATTTTAACTATATCACAAAGAACTTACCAAAAGGTATAATTTGGGACATTTTATCTTTAATGACAAAAAAAGTTTCCAAAATGCTAGTTTATTTTGTCGTCCGCATTCACGTTATCACAATTTGTATTAGAAACAAGTTCCTTGTTGATTATAAATACAACTAAATATTCAATTAAAATAAACGTGCTATCTAGCTGCGTACATCCGTCTATGCAATCGCATGAAGCTAGACTGGTATTATAAGTTCCAACAAGTTATTTGTGAACAGAGTGAAGTTAGATACAAACCGTTGGCTTATATGACGCGAAAATTTAATCCGACGCGACACGGCATTTTAAAGAAGGCATTTATTTGAAACTAAGAGTCGTATTCCAAAACTCTACTCAATGCTCAAGTCAGGATTTGAGCAGACTTGAGTATGATTTCAAGCACTGGAAATACGACCCTTACTTGACGGACTTGAGTATGATTTTCAGTGCTCAATGCTATACTCAAGTCCTGACTTGAGTATTGAGTAGAGTTCTGGAATACGACCCTAAGTGTCGTATTCCAGAACTGTACTCAATGCTCAAGACAGGATTTAAGCAGACTTGAGTATGATTTCAAGCACTGGAAATACGACCCTAATGGCAAGGACTTGAGTTTGATTTCTAGTGCTTTGAATCATACTCAAGTCTTGACTTGAGCATTGAGTAGAGTTCTAGAATACGACCCTTAGAATTTAATCGATAATTTTTATGAAATTTGACTAACTTCGGCTGTCCGGGTTTTTTTCGTCTCATACAATGAAATGATCCCTTCATGAAACTAAGTCGATCAGTTTCATGAAGGGATCATTTCAAAAATTTCAAAAATTTTCATCAATTTTATTTATTTCTATGAATAACTCACGATTGACCAAAAAATTGACTGTACCAAAAGTGGTTTCACAAAAAGACTTAATTTTCGGTTTTCGTTTCGGATTTCCCCCCTACTACTGTCCCATTAAAAAGACACTGTTTAATACAGCTGAACATTTTGTGTGCAGTCGTCAGTAAAACAACTAAATTAGATCGAGTCCTATATGCATACGCCTGGCCAAATAATAAATTAAGAAATGAAATGAAACAAGTCCTACACCCGATTTTGTTCATTATAAAAACTTTGAGTGCTTGGAAGTTTAGTGCCGGGTCAGTACCAAAAAAATAATTTGCCATAACAAAAAACAAAAAGCAAGTTTTCACGCGACTGTGGCGATCCTTGTGATATTTGGACAACTAACGCCATCTATTGACTTAAATACGAACTCCTTCGACAACCACACACCTAATCACTTAAATAGACGCGGTCGCTCGTGTCCCTAGTTGTCATTTATTAAATTACGAGAATCTACGCACAGATGGCGTTCATATTTACATTAAGGTGGCTGTAAGCACTGTAAATAAGCTTTATTGACCTTTTTTTATTGATAGGTCAATTGTGAGCAATGAAAATATTGAACAAGCACTAAGTTCAAACCTCCAGCAAGTGCAAAATTGTCGAACAGCACCTAATAGTGAAATAGCCGTAAAACTTACTGCACCCTATTATATTGGACACCAACTAGGCAAGTGATGGTATAGCTGCGTGCTGGTCACTAAACTTTTTTATAGCAGTACATTTTAGGAGTCTTCATTGCCTTGATTGTTTGTATTCCGATGTGTACCCAAAGAGATACGTGGCAAGTCGATGCGATTAGTAAAGATTTGTGAAAAGCTTTCGACTTTGTTCATTGTGTTGTATATTGGTCTCTTATGTTACATCACTTTAATATTATTATAAGAACCGTTGAAAGTCTCGACTAATTTTACTGCGATGAGAGAGAGTTGCGTGCTAGGACGGTGCGATTCATATACATTTGTCAAAAGTTTTTCGATTGCCCTAATCGGGTGTTGGTTACACATTACTGCTTGCCGGCAGAAATTAGTAATGTAAGTACTTTCTTGGACGAACTATTTCACAAGGAGCTCTACTGCTACTAACGTACGAATACATAGGAAAGTACGGTTCAAAGTACATAGGAATACAGTTCAACCGTCTGGTGTCCTATACACGATGTCCATATTGAAATAATAGTCTGTTCAGCGTCGATTTTTGTGCAATGTTTCGACTCATCCGAAGAACAGACTCCGATGTGATTATACAGCGAAAAGAGGATAAATACATAATCTCGTTATTCAAAATAAGGTCTAGCTGTAGGTGTTTTTAGAATTTATGTATTATTTCGTTTCGGAAATATAAAATCGAGCAACGGTGATCTGATATCCACAGCTAAGAACAGCGAAAGAAATATACAATGTCCTGAGAATAAGCAGTCTTGCACATATAGGTCTTTGTTCTACGGATGAGTCGGTGTATGTGCAAAATTGAGACCGGCGTACGCTGCTTAATCACTAATACATAATGTGATCAACCTGGAAGTATGTAGGCAAATATCGGCCCTATGTATTTTGTACAAAACTGTTAATTTTACCTTAGATGCTGATTCTGATGAAATGTATCACATTTTATGGACCCTATTCGTACCATGATTTTTTTTTATTCTAGCTGTAGGTATGCCCTTTAAAACAGCACTGTATGTAATTGGCGGTTTGTAGAATATAATATGTATATGTGATATATTTGTTTATCGTAGTATTTCTTCGTATTGCGTCATATAATTGCACGAGACACTAAAGTAATTTGATTGATTTTTTTTTGATACATACGTAATGGTGGTCCAATGACGGAACGGTTGCTTCTCAATTGAAAGTTCGATTCTAATCTCTTGTGCGACCTAGGATTTATGATATGGCTTTATGAATAATTAGTAGCAATACCTGTTGCTAACGGTGAAAGAAAATGCTACTCGTATATGTTTTATTTATTCTAGCTTTCCATGTTTCCATTTGTCCCATTTCTAATTTAACCTACCCTGCCTATCTCAGGTTGCGCATTTCTGTCACATGAGCATAAATCTAGTAGTGATATCCCTATCAATAGTAGCAAAGCTTTTAATATATAATATAATAATTTCCCTATTATCTACAGCAGTCGACTGGGTTTATAGTCGACGTTGTCGATACGTGGCACCTGGGGAAACCTTCAGTGGTGCCGGAGAAGTTAATTGTGACACTTGACGTTACAGGACACTTAACATGAAAGAAAACACTATATGGCTGTAATATAAGAATTAACATACCTGCGTCGAGACTTTAATTGGGGAACAGTATGAAAATTAACTGCTTAAAATTGTTTTTAAAATATTTAGTTTTACACCATTTGGTCCATTGAAGTGTAGTAAAAACGACATTTTGTTTCCGATTTTTTAATAGACTTCAAACAAGGAGGTTCTCAGTTCGACTGTAGTATTTAATAGCAGTAGAGATCTTTGTGAATGAGTCCGTGCAGGGAAGTGCTACCACCTTAGCTTAGACGTGCTAAAACCTAGATCGTGTTATTACACAAATCAATGTAACGGCTTAGAATAATAACGCATAGAACATTATAGTCAATGGCATAGAATGATACTCTTAACACAATGTATTAAGAGTGTCTTTTGCATTGCAATTATTGGTTTAAGACGTACCTAGGTTTAGTGCAAGTGGACATATGACATATTGCTATTCGTCACCTAATAATTCCTTGGGCACTAGGCCAAGTCGTTTGGGTAAACATTGGGTTATTGTATTGTTTCAGAGAGTGGTGTCTGAAATGTATTACCTAAGCCTTAGAAGAAAATAGTTTCAAAAAGACCATCACAGAATTTGATCGCTAGTTTTTCATTGAATATTGGTTAGGCGTCCGCAAGACGCCTTTAATGCGCAATACTGTGTTATTGCTATTTCCGTTTGCGTCTTCAGCAGGTCTGTGATGGTGCTTAAGATAACAAACAACTTTAATAATATTTAATTTTAAGTAAAAACTAAATATTTGATTTCCCATGCGATTGGCTACCGACGGGGAACCAAAAAAATTTTTTCACCTCGAATTGATTAGAAATCTGCGCGCCAAAGCGTTTTTGGCACGCTAGCGTGGACAACGTTTTTGAAATTCGAATTTGACGATGAACTGACCTAAACCCCCTTAGTGTTTCTCCTCTCCGCTGTACGGGTATGTTGTCGCACCCGTCCGCGCCAGCGGCTGGCCGCGCCCTGCACAGCCCCTCCCCGAGAAAGGAGACACATCGGTCTCCCGACTCCGAATGTGAGGCTCGCCGAACACCAGACGAGCCTTCCATCCCGGGCCTTTGTCGTGGTGGGGGGGGGGGCTTGCGTGCCCTTATGATCCCCAAGGCTATGCCGGATAGCGCTTCGCATACCGGACAGCCTTGAGATGGAGGGGCCAGACTAAGAACGGCACACCCTGCGGCGGATTCCACTCCTGGTACCATTCTGACTAGCAGAACAGACCGGGATGTGGACGTGTAACGGAGGGAAGCTGCCTGTGGGCGGTCTGCCGAGACCATTTGCGAATCTCGCAAATCGAGGAAGAAAAACCTCATTAAAAACCAAGGGTCTGCTGCACCTTAATCTGGTCTGGATGCGGGTCGCAACGCATTTAGTACCAGACTAGGGCCAAGTAGGAGATGTGACCAAAAGGGCCTGGTCTGGGCTAGCGGCCGGCCGGAAGAACCACACCAGTGGCGAACGGGCGGTTGTAACTCCGACCTAGGGGAACTCACCCCTCAAAAAAGAGGAGGACGCTCTCCCTTCAACAGGAGCAGGGGACCTCACCCCTAAAAGGATAAATGAGTGGAAACGATGAACTGACTTAACCTTTTTTTTTTTTTTTTTTTTGTTATCCGAGGGAATCTGCTTACAGATACCCCGGCCCCGCGGGGGCAGAGCCGGGGTTATGTGGGACTGGGCTGAACCCTGAAGGGGAGCAGCCCGACCGCACTAAACCCCCGGAGTGTTCCTCCCCTCCGCTGTAGGTGGGGGTACGGGTACGCTGTTGCACTCGTCCGCGCCCCCACCAGCGGCTGGCCGCGCCCTGCGCAGCCCCTCCTCGAGAAGGGAGACACATCGGTCCCCCGACTCCGAATGTGAGGCTCGCCGAACACCAGACGAGCCTTCCATCCCGGGCCCCTTTATGCTGGGCAACGAACTCCCCCGAGTCCGCTACCCAGGGGCCATGGGGGGCCAGGACAGCATCCACTCAACTGTGAAGTTCAGTGGCTGCTCCCCCAGCCCCTGCGGTGGATCTGATGACAGGCTCCGCCGCAACAGCTAACGCGCTTCCGCGCGGACTCTCCGAAGAGAGTCCCTTGGAGCGCCCACCACGGGCCAACCGCCCACGTTCGGCCGCGGAGGATAGGACGAGCGGCAACGACACACCGACACGTCTCTTCCCCCGCGGCCCCGCCGCCACTGCATCATTAAAAGCGGTGCAGCCCCGCCAGGGTCGCGGAGGACAGGACGAGCGGCAACGACACACCGACACGTCTCTCCCCCCGCGACCCTCCTCCTCGCGCATCCGCGCGGTCCCGCTGGCCACTCCGATTTCTCCGTCAATTGTGGACCGATTTTGAAAATTCGTTTTTTGTTTGAAAGGGTATACTCTCGAGGTAGTTTGTGATGCCGACAATGCTGTTCTGGGTTCGTTTCGGCTATCACAAATGAAACAAATATTTTCCGCAAATAAATTAGACTTTTCACTTGACACGGTACATGTAATCAACAATTCACCGTTACCATGGCAACCAGAAACAACCCATTGTCACCAAACAGTCAGAGCCTGATAAGGGGATCCTATAGAAATCGAAAAAAGCCGATAAGCTAACTTTTGAGGTCGGTTTTTTTTAATGAAAAAGTTACAATTATCGTATATATAAAATCATTGGACGAGGGTGAAAAACTTATACAGTATCTTGGCATCAGCTCCGAGAATTAAAATTCTTTAAGCACCATAAGCATAAAACATAAACTGCTAACTATGAGCTAACTGCCTCCGTGGCCGAACGGTTACTGTGATGGACTGTCACGCAAGGGGTCCTGGGTTCGATTCCCGTGCCGGGAGAAATATTTGTACGGCCTACATTTATTTCTTTCATGAGTTTGGGTGTAATTTGTGGTTGTCTATGTGTGTATCCATGGCACCCGCGATACAGGATTTCCCCACGCTCACTTAATGCCAATTATCCACGATTCTAAAAAACCCTTTGGATTTTCCAGCCGTGCACGATTTCAACAAAGCAGTTTATGCTATTTAAAGCTATCAGATAAAATTAGAGTACTTGAAACAACCAGCAGCGTCACTATAACAACAGTACCTACCATTAATTTTGTGAACTATTTATCAATTAAATCAACTATTTCAAAAGTCTCAATCACATGAACTGCGAGGGACGAATGAGAAATGTCATAGATCACCATTCAGTTACAGGTTGAGAACTTAGTGAGCCTAAACAGGAAACTACATCTACAAAGAATCAATCAAACACATACCTACCTCACCATTGTAGAGAGCGTTCAGACGCCACTAAATTAAAACCCGTATTCATGGCGTCTATAACTAAAAGTACGACTTTTACGACCTAATAAAAGTAGACCCAAAACTATAAAAATACATTTGAATGGCCATATACACCTGGAGAACTTATAAAATGTGAAAATCTATTTTCCTTATGTTATGTTAGACCAGCAGGTGAAGGAAAACAAATTGATGAAATCTGCACGCCGAAGATGGTTGACAACCCTCGGAAAACGTGTAAATGTGTCCCAGTGTGGCAGACTATGGTCAAAACCCCCACCTGAGTGAAGACCCGTGCCCATTAGTGGAACATATAAATGGGTTGTTGCTGACGATGATACCAGTATTGCAGCAGGTTTTACATAAAAAGTGGTTTAATAATAATAATATAATAACGCACACACTCAACATAGACAACCACAAATTACACCCAAACTCATGAGATAAATAAATGTTGGCGATAGAAATATTTCTCCCGGTCCGAGAATCGATTCTGGGACCTATGCGTGGCAGTCCGGCATGGTAACATATAAGAAAAGAAACTATTTGTTGTTTGAAACAAACCAACGTTTTGGGACCTCTACAGGCCCCATGGTCACAGCTGACAGTCATCGTCAACATGTTTAGATTAGAAAAAGTATTTACATTTCCTAAGTTAAAAAGATAGGTATTCTCTACAAGAACCGAACCCTTTCACACACCTACATAAGCAGACGTACACATGACATACACCCACAAGCACGCTTGCTTGATTCTTATTAAACTTTTCTCAAACATTATGAGTGCAATTTTGGTGTAATAAAATTTTACTGTATTAGGTTCCAAGAAAGAAAACGCTTATTGAGCGAAAAAAAAACGTCTTTATGGCCTCTGTAAGATATTTGTAACACGTTATTCGTGTTATTAAAGTCACTATTCAAATTATGTTTATTTATTAGCCACAACGAATAGTGGTCAAATATCATGACAGCCATGACGCGAATTTCGTATTGTGGTGTTTTTGAGTTAGTCGCAACGCGTTCTGTTCTGTAAATAAGTACACAAATTTATTTTTAACTACCTCAGCGGCCGAACGGACTCCATGCTGGTCTGCCACGCAGAGGTTCCGGGTTCGATTCACAGGAGAAATATTTGGGTGTAATATGTGGTTGTCTATGTATTATTATTATTTGAAGAGTATAATTATATAGATAAATAAATACATTTGTAATTTATTTTGTACTTTCTGTAGTTTTAGTGTTGTATGTTGTACATATACACTTGAAATAGAAAATGCCTTTATAGTTGTTTATTGCAAAGGCCGGGAAATAAGAGATTGCTGTACGAGTATGTATTAATACCTGCTAGTCAAGCAATCCCCGTTCCCGTCGAGGCTTCAACAGTGCTTTTCTCAAACAATATGAGGAAATAATAAAAGACTGAACAGAAAAAGTAAGAATATTACTAATTATTATTAAAAGTAATATTTGACATGTTAAGACAACTATTTTGCTAAACGAAAAGGTTGTTTTTCCAGCCACATTAACAGTAGTCTGCTGGAACTTCTGATAGTGTGGTTGGATGTGTATTACTGTATTTTCGTTATCGTTCTTCTCAGTAGAACTCCTTTTTGCGCCGAAAATACAAAAAAAGACGAATTAACAGAAGAGACTACCAAAGCACCTTAGAATAATAACGCATAGAATGATAGTTTCATATCAAACGAACTGTCACAAGTGAGGCAAAAATCAAATTCATGTAGGCTAGTTTTAGTAGTATATTAATTTTCGGTTTTAGTGAATATTTATATAAAAATACAAGTTGAAACGCGTTACTTCCTTGTGGAATGTGACGTCAGTATCTATTTTATGTTTGTCTGACGTATTTTTACACTCATTTACCGCACATTTCGTCATTTTTAGCTAAAATTCTTGATCTGTTCGCGGTGCAAGTTGACCTTGAGCACCGAAGGCCCGCCCGCTCGTGTAGGCCCATTGGGCGCGCTTCAATTTGCCTCACTTAGCGTGTGCGGACTAGGTTTCTATGCGTTATTATTTATTATTCTAAGCAAAGCACTTTATTTTACCACCAAGTAAGCGGTACATGTAGGCATTTTTAATTCTCGCTGTGGCCGGTACTGAACTGTTGACTGTATGAGTTTTTCTTTAGCCGGTTTATATAGTTCATTGTTAGTAGATAGATTTGAAAGCTTAGAGTAGCGGACAGTAATGGATTTTCAAATTCAAATTCAAATTCATTTATTCAAACAGACAACTTAGTCCATATTTGTTAGTAACAATATCTTATGCGCTAAGTTAGTAGAAATCATAAAGAACAAAAATACAATTTAAAAATAATAATAATAAAATTCAAAATTAATAATGTCCAAATTTGTTAGTAACAATGACTGTTCTTAAAAAACTATGTTAGTTGCAAAACATTAAAAATAAAAATTCACAATATCCACATAATAGTAATCAGATTATAATCAAATTCAAACAAACAATCTATGGTACATAATAATTACACTTTTTGTTTAAATGTACCATACAACAGTGGGACACATACAAACAATCATATTTACTTTAAAGGCTTTGGCCGAGGGAAGTCACACGGTCTTTAAACGGTAAACTTTCCGTGTTTGTTTTTTGAAAGTAGTGGAAACATTAATGTTTGAGATTATCTCAGTACAGGGTATTAAAAAAACCGATCTCAAAAGGTCATGGAATTACATCTTTTATTGAAACTGATTACCGGAAAGTGCACGAAACCGGATTCATTATTTTCCGTATTTTCTTCAAATTTAAATGGGACCACTATTGAGGTAGGTACCCTATTTCTAATAAAAAAATAATCATCGAAATCGGTTCACAAATGTTATCGCGTAATTTAAAAAAAATCAGTCGGATGGAGCACCTCCTCCTTTTTTGAAGTCAGTAAAAAAATAATATGCTAATTGTCTATTCGCGCCCTCGGTGTAATAAACAAGGTCACATCTGCAAAATGACAACCTTTCTGAAAACATGTTTGGAGATTCTACCATCGAGTTTCTACTAATGAAACTAGGCGATAACTTTTTATGCTTAATTATGAGAGTTATAAAATATCACATTCTAAATAATTTGTTTCATGTATTCGTATTATTTTTATGACTTTCATGTGATAAAGGCACTTTTGACGCGGCTTTATTATGCCATGGGTACAGTTATACACAGTTTTTTTTATAAACGTTACAAAATGAAAAAGCTAGCAGTCGGACCTGCGTAGTTGCGTTCGTTAAAAGCGCTCGCTCAGTTTGTAGTCGTCCTCCGCGGAGGGAGCTTTTCCCTAAACAATATTTGAACGTTTTTTTCTCACATACACTATACGAAATATAAGTGAAAAATGGCGAAATAAGTGGATGAATTAGAGGGAAAAGGTTTCGGGATGGCTGAGCGTCCGGGACCGGAACCACCGTTGGGTTTGTAGATTCATGATTTTTATTTAGGAAAAAAGAAACAATAAAGCGATCTTCTTTGATCTACCGCCTCTCAAGCAGAGGCTGTGGCTTCGAATCCAGGTTCTTCTCAGGAAATTTAATTTGAAAATTTACCATGAGCTTTTCGTCGAAGGAAATGTCGTGATGATTCCTGCACGTTGTAGAAGGTTCTTCTCGGAAAACATGTTAAGTCCCTAACCCGCATTGGGCCAGCGCGGCAGAATATGGCCTAAACACTTGTATGAGAAGAGACCCGTGCCCAGCAATAGATGACGAAATTTACATCTTATGTAGTGCCTTTTTAAATCTTAGATCGTAAACTTCAACAGACAGACAAACAAAGCTAACCAAAGTCTCATAGATAAATATTTAATAAATAAATGTAAATAAATATTATGTTCAGGTAGGCTACCTTTTTCTAATTGTTTATTTTTTAATTAAAAGCCTCCATTTAAGCGGAAAAAAAACTAGATAGTGTACACGAAGACTGTAAATAAAAAAAAACACACGTGTCAATTAATAGTTTTAAGAACATGCGACTGTACTTTGAAGCCCATTTAAAATAAATTGCAAACTGATATCACTGTTTGTCAAGAAATAGTTCCTTTTTTAATTAATTAATGAAATTTCTTCAGAAAATGCTAAATTTTATTATGCATGGAACGCCGAGCTTGTCATTGTTTAAAATAATCACTCGAAAACATCCAGAGATGGCGCAGCTTTTTAAAACCATCTTCTTGGTGAATATGAATATAGGTTTAGGTTATTAAGCCAAAAAGAAGAAAAAAAACTAAAAGTAAATAAAATTTCAGCTGTGAATTGGTTAACCGGTCGAACACAATATTTAGTAGTGAGTGTAGAGCTTAGACTATGGAAAAAAAGAAGAAAAGAAAAAGAATAAAAAAAAAGTGCGTTTCATGGTTTCATACGTCATATTATTGATGTACTTCATAATTTGGTCGCATATTTTAAAGGCTGGATTTTAAGTTGTTTATCGTAGGAGAGTTGTGATGTGTTACCTACTAAACATCTTTAATTACATATTATATTTATATTATATATTTAGTAATATTTTAAATAGGTAGTTTGAAATGTTGTCTACTACCTGAAATTATTGTCATATATTTTAAACCATTTTCAAAAAGTTCATTACAATTGTAAAATAAATAACTTGGTAAAGTGTCATACATTATACTTAATTACGATTGGTTCATATTTAGTTTTACCTAAACCTGTGTTGTTATAGATTCTTTTGGGATAGGACGCTGTTCTAGAAAGTCACACGTAATGTGTTTGTGTCAGGTCTGTCCCAATTATCAGACCTGGATGGCGTTTCAATTCGGCAGAAGATCAACGACTTCACAGGCAACAAGTATGTGGTGTTGTCGCCCACTGGTGACGTGGTGATGTATGCGCGGGAGGACACCGGGGCTATCGGGCAGATTCTCGGTGGACACTCGCGGCCTTTCCACATCGATATCTTCGACACTCAGGATCGGAAGGTGAGTGTCATGATTAACCATCATATGTCCCCCTTTAGACACTGGTCTCCACTGGGAAAGTCGAGGGAGTCTCCGCCACACGTTGTTCAAGTTTCATTTCGATGTATTCATTCATCGGAAACGAGTGGTATCTCTATCAAATTATTAAGAAATATAGATATTGTGACGGTGTGATCTCCTTACACCGTTATCTCACCTCTTTGTATCGCCTCTTTCCGCTTGTATCCTATAATTTTTTTTATTTTCCATGTATTTAAATTTGAATTGTTCCATCTTCCTTCACTTTCTCATTTTGTTTTCGTACAACGGTCACTCCCAGCTCGACATCCACAACAGTCGGAGCTGTTAATAAGCTAATCATGTGTAATAATTTATAAGTCTACACCCTTCATGTATCTATTTCTGTAATTCAGTTTCTCGGCCCATTTAGGGGTAAGTGCCTTAATAATAAAGTGTAGGGAGTGTTTTATAGTGTTATACCTGTTTTTTTACATTTACCTTTATATTGTTACAGCCTTTCTTTAAACTCTACTTCTTTAATAAATTTTGTGGACCGGAAGTTTCCCATTTCATTGCCGTGAACCTGTTCACGGCTAGTTAGGGTTACAACCCTTTCAATATTAAGCAGTAGAGCTCCTTGAGAAAGAGTTCGTCCAGGGAAGTACAGCCTCTTTACCTTTCAATCGCTAAGCGGTAATGTGAGCATTACTGCGTTCCGGTGTTGAAGGGTAAGGATGCTGGTGAAATAACAGGCACTTGTCAACTAATGTCTCAGATGACGGGCGCAGTGGAAATGCCCTTCAAATCTTTACCATATATAATTCTGAGTTGTACCGCAATTGCTATGAACAGGCGTGTCGTTTATCACCAGGCGTACGACTTGTTCAACCCGTCAGTTGGTGTCATAAAAAAAAACTATAAATTAAAATCATACGTACATGACCTTACAGGGATTCGAACCGTGTACCTCTCAGTAGAGAAGCAACAGTTCTTCCACTAGGCTACCGCCATTTTGGCATAAATCAATATAGTCTGCGCTAAAAGGAACCATTTTATAGCTGATATTTAAAAACAAAACAAATCATGTACTTTCTAAATAATTTGTTTTTCTAGACAGCAAAAAATCTGGAAAGTACAGCTTCTCAACTCGTATACTTCAAGGGTTTTCAGTAAGAACATACTACCAACTGCGGATCTAACAAAGTATCTCTCAAATTTCCGAAACGAAGTGCTCCCGCTGTAGGTACATACTTTCATTACCCTATTGATGTCCATTTGGCCACCAAATTGCCCCGGGCGCTGTCCTCGATCATAAAAATTGATGAAATGGAAGAAGAAGAAATCGAGGCGCATAATGGCGATTCACAACTGGCCGATCGGAAACTTTTGATATTTCTAATCGGAACAATAGTTGATTGTTGCGGTTGTCTATGTGTGTGTCCATGACACCCGCGACACAGGGCTTCCCTAGTGCGGGGCTATGTTGAGTATGTGCGTTATTAAAAAAAATAATGTTACTTTTCATTTAAAATACTTTTAATACAAGTAAACTTTGGAAATGATAATCTTAATATATGCTCCGGAATCTTATTGCAAAAAAAGTCGTTTGCCTTTCCATTAAAGAGTCGTTTGCCTTTGGTACTATGAGTTTAAACTTAGTTCTAAGGTTAATATTATGGATATCTTCTTTCTTAATGAAATTATGTGTATTTTTACGGGCATACAAAATATTTGAGTTAATGTGCTGTGATGCCAGAGTCATGATACCAGTCTACAATACAATGTGGTTACTTATTATTTGATAATAATAATGTATGTTTTTGTCAATGCATTTAATTTTACCATTGACACTAGGAAAACTAAACAGAGCGGGAGACAGTGTCTCTGTTTAGTTTTCCCCTGTCTCAGTGGTTGTCTGGAAGAGTTGGCTCTTAGGGTCGTATTCTAGAACTCTACTCAATGCTCAAGTCAGGATCTGAGTATGGTTTAAAGCACTCGAAATCATTCTCAAGTCCCTGCCATTAGGGTCGCATTTCCAGTGCTTGTGTTGCCAGTGCAATCCTGACTTGAGCATTGAATAGAGTTCTAGAATACGACCCTTAGTGATATGGCCGCTTTTGCCCACATTGTTTTAAGTTGTTTATGTACCGTTCTTTGTGTGAACCATGGTGAACTTTGACCTCAATATACTCGGTCATAGATCGAAATTCTATAGTTTACACGATCTGTAGGTAGAATTGTACTTTGTTATCCTATTTTCAACTTTCATGCATATCGATTGAAGAACGGCGGAGTAATTCTGTACGTAGTTGGTGCAATATGAGTGAATACCAAAATAGCTTCACTTGCTGCGTTATTTTAACTTTAACTTACTGTAATGATGAAGAAAACTGAACATAGGCCAGGGTGGTTGACTGGGCTTTTACCTCCTTCAAAGAAATCTAGGCAATAGGAAATATGGTTAAATTTTAAAATTTGTTGTTGTTGTTTTGTTGTGCTTATAAACACTGGAATTATATTGAATGATATAACTTTATTAATAAACCAAAATTAAATGCAAACTGCCTTTATTTGTGTTCTACTAGTCATATTTTATTATAATAGAAAGAAAGAAAGAAAACTGTTTTATTGTAGAAACACAGACACGCATATAGGCAAAAAAGTGCAGGACAAAAATAAAAATTAAAAATAATATTAAACAGTTTACATTAGTAAGCAAAAATTTACCGTCATGCGTGTCGCGGCTGGTACTGGGTCAAGAGCACGTCAAGCTTGGCACTTAACATTTAATTAAAACCAACTCTATGACGCTTACGATAAGAATTGTACAATCGGGACTTGCTCAGCTTTAGCCACAATCGTTTTTTTTAAACGTGTCATGGCGCTGATTTTCTGCAAGCCCGGGTCAAGTGAATAGACTTAGTTATTGTTATTTTGAGGCAACACACTAGTATCCTAATAATCCTAGTCTGGGAGCTAGGCACGTCTTTGTACCTATTTTTCTGTATTTTGCAATAAAGTTAGTTTATTTTTTTAATTCTTTATAAAAGAGTTTATCCAGGGAACGCCACCTTACCTGTTTCTGCCGCAAGCAGTTGTGTGAGCAATACTGTGTTCTTTCTAACTTGAAATTACGGGGATATGGGACTTGAATGTTTCTGGCATCCCACTTCGCCGTACCGGTCATTTGAGAACAGTCCCTCGACGCATGGCACTTGCAGAGAAAAACCCGCGTGTCATCGGACCTACTTACTATGAGCGTTTACCCGCCACTCTCAGACTTGAACCGTCTGACGAAATATTTGGGCGCCGGCTGAAAGAACTTTTCTTGAAAAATCCTATATACTCCGTAAAAGAATTTATGGACTTTAAATTGTAACGAATTCAGTATTTTCTTTTTTGATTCTAATTTTTACCGCATTAATAAACTCTTGTATAATTGTTATCAACTTATGACGATCCTTGATGGAGAATGATATTTGATATGTAATTTAAAGACAACAATATTATATAATGAATTGTTAATTTTCTATTTATTGTGTGCTTTTCTTATAATTTTCCTTTTTGTCTGACGATCTCAATATAATTTCTTATACTTTAACATGTAGTGCAATTTATACTGTAATGTTATATTTGAGAAATAAATGAATCTGAATCTGAATCTTGTCAATTTATATTTCAGGTTGACCAGCGCAGTGGCAGTGCTTCTTAAATCTTTGTGACTTAAAGCTTTGTGTGGCTCTGCAACCATTATGGAAGGGACGTCGCTTACCACCAGAGGCACGACTGGCTCGTCCCTTCACTTGGTGTCATAAAAAAAAACGCCACAATTTCTGATGTTAAGCGACGATATGGCCGATGATGTTACGCGTTCGTCTAGTAAATGCCTATTAACTAGCTTTGAATAGCTCTAAATCGTAGCTTTCGGGAAACATAGATACCGGTAGTATATGCCATTTCCTTGAATTTACGTAAAGAATGTTTTCTTTTCCTTAGTTTTATGGTACACAAATTTTTATTACACCCCAATGGGTACGGTGTATTTTTTGTCCATATAAATATTTTCTGCGTCGGTTGGTTCCGTTATGTACATAACGGATATATAACGTGTTTAACGATAATAAATTACGGAAGTAACTCGTGCGTGTAGTGGAACTTTAAATCGTAAAGATGTAATGGGCACTGCCACAGCGCCTGTCGTCCTGAGACGTACAATAGACAAGTCCCGACTAATGCCTACATTACTGTTTGGCGGCAGAAATAGATGTGACATCGCTACTTATCTGGACGAACTTTTTCAGGTGGAGCCATCATCATCATTATCAACCCATTTATACGTCTCACTGCCGTGTACGGGTTTAGGCCATAGTTTGCGAGGGATTAAACGCTGGCTCAAAGTTCGTTGGGCATTTCACACGCTTTTCGAGAGTTGTGAACCTTCTTCGGCGTGTAGGTTTCCAGACCGAAGAGCTCATGATGAATGTCAAATTAAAATTCGCACACAAATACCGAAAACCTAAGAGGTGCGAGTCCGAATTCGAAACCACGACCCTGTCTGCTTCATTGCTACTAAAATCGGTAAAGCATTTAAAATTCGCCTCGTTTTCCGCGCTCTCAACGGAAGGCTTTTTTTGTAATATCAAGTGACGGGACGAACTAGTCGTGCGCCTGATGGTAAGCTACACGTCTATCCGTAACAGTTGCAGTGCCACTCAGAGCTTTAAATCGCAAAGATCTGAGGGGCACTGCCACTGCGTCCGTCACCCTGAGACGTAAGTTGACAGGATCCCCTTTGCCTGTAATTTCACCAGCGCCCGTACTCTTCAAAACCGGAACACGGTAATCCTGATATTACTGCTTAGCAGCAGGAATAGATAAGCTGGCAGTACTTCCCTGGATAAACATTTTCACAAGGAGCTCTACTGTTCCTACGCTGATAAGCATTGGCGCTCTTGACGGAAGGCACACGTACTAGCATTGTTGAATATTTCTATGCTCAA